CCCCAAAACCCCAAAACCCCAAAACCCCGCTGAACTGCTAATATATTTTAATATTTTAACTTGATAATTAAATAAATAATTGCTAATTAATTAAAGGACTTAGTTTCACTGTCCATACTTATTGATAGCTACGGTTCCTACAAAGTTTTCAACTACTTTCTTCCAAACATTCTCTACAACTTTTAGAGTATTAGTCTCTGAATCATACTGCATATTCAAGATGCCCTTAATTTTATTGCTAATTGTCAAGTTTGATACCTAATCTTTAGTGCTATCTGAGGATTATTCAAGTACAGGTAAAACTACTTTCTTTATGTATTTTGATTAACTTATCTTGAGGTTATCAAACCAGTTTTATGCAGCTAAATTTTTTTCTTCTACGGATTTGCCTGGGTGATTCTGAATAATCTCTACCTCTTCTGGTAATCCTTTGTTTATATCTAGAACAGAGTAAGTGTAGTTAGTATATATAATGTACTAACTACTACTAACTTAGGCAATTCCAACTGTCCTATTAAATCTGGTTAGATAATTCTAAGGGAATTTATCTTGATTTGCTGCACTCCAGCTGTGTATTTTTTTATTGTTTAGATCAAACACTGTCACTTTATTGGAATCATAGGCTACTATCAATTTATCTTGGTCACTATGAGCACAGAGAGATAGACTATTTTCTATCATTGGTAGATTCCAACTTAATTGTTACTTAGTCAGATCAAATTCCGCAAAGAACTGAAGATTAGCAAATGAAACATAAAGTTTGTGGGAGGTACAATTGAAGCTAATAAAGTTAATGATCTTGTCATAGTTTTTCAAAGTGACGTTGTTTAAGCTATCCACTAATTTCTCATTAAGATTAAACAGCTCCTTGACAGTGTAGTCTTCACTTAAATTTACTTCTCTTAGGTTAAGTTCTTCATCTAGAATGAGCAGATAAGTCTGTTCATTGTCTGATTGGTATAGTTTAAGCCAAATACTGGATAATATAGATTGTAAGCCGTTAGAAACACATACTTTTTGAGTAAGTTTCTTAAGAGTTAGTTCATTCTAATTAAAATGGAAAATTTGAGTGTCTTTGCCATCTGAATAAACTATGAAATCTCCTAGCTTATCAAAGCATCTTATGTTATAGTCTCCCTTTTTCTCTATTCTAAGTACCTGCATTTGGGACTCAGCGTTCCAAATTTCAATGAATCTCTGATTTCCATTCAATACACATATACTCTTGCCATCGATGATAGCTGCTGTCTTGAATGGGAAGGGAGGTATATGCCTTAATTTCTAAGTTTTTTGTTGATGCTTAGAGTCCTTACCAAATTGATCATTGAATCTCCCGTCAGTCAGGTTATAAACACAGATATCAGTTGTAACACCTGCTGAGATTAACTGCTTCGGTGATATTAAGATCAATGATTTAATGTCGTGAGACTGACCTCTGTATATAGAAGCAAATACCCAGGACTATTCAGCATTCGCTGAATCTTTCAATTTTATAACTAGTAATCTTGAATCAATACCTGAGGCATAGACACACTAATAATCTTCATTCACTTCGATGGTATTGATATCTCCTTTTAGGTTATCAAAAGTTTTTTATAATGTTCCAAACTCTGCATCCCAGACTGATAGATGCCCTTGAGAATCACCACTTAATAAGTGATTTCTAAATAGCTTCAATTACCAAATGCAGCATTCTAAGTTAGTCTTTTTCTATTTCTTTGAAGTTTGCTTTTAGAAATGTAACACGCTATTTCCACCAATCATATCCCACTTTCTGATTGAAGAATCTGAATAGCCAGCATATATATTCTTTACCATTTGATTCTCTGGGACATTTCTCACTAGGGCTAAAGAAAGGCACCTGGCATCTACTTTGAACATCTATCTAATGTATTCAATTTTGTTCTTTTTGACTTTCAATATCTTTACTGTCCCATCCTCGCAAGCTAGGTAGAGGAACTTTCCATGCATTTAAGAGTCCCAAACAGCAGAATTGCAAGAGTACTTTGATTTTGGCTTGCCAGTCCTCAAGTCCCACTCAATCACCAAGCCATTCAAGCCTGTCGTCAACAATCTTCTCTTTTTGAATTTATTTTCCTATGTCTCATAATAGAATTAATTTGTGTTCGATATCTGCTCTTTGGTATTAATCTTGGCGCTATGATTCATTTCTAGCCAGTGAATACGTCTGATATCACAGTTCTTATTTCCGGGAATTACTAATACTTAAGACCATGAATATGGCAATCTCCAAATCTCAATTGAATTGCTTTCTCTAGCTATAAATGAATGAGAATATTTTATATTTACAAACTGCAAGAAGTCTTTTGTCAAAGGACAAAGCCATTGATTCAATGCCTTATGGCTAATAATTAGCAAATCTCAGTCTCTCGATATCGATTTGTGTTGATCCACTGCTGCCTTAATCCATAATTAATATGATTTGATAATTTAATTATTCAATACATATTTCAGCTCTTAATTATTGGAAAGGGGTTTTGGGGTTTTGGGGTTTTGGGG